CCATTTATTCCGCCGGCCGCGCGCTGGACGTGTAAAAACGACCCAGAAATTACACATAATAAGCGAGTGGCCTGCCAGCGCGGCCACGCGGGGTGACCAAAATGGTCGCAGGCTGTCAGTCCCGGCCCCCTGGACGTTCAGTTGTGAAATTTTGAGGCCGCAAAGCCTCAGAATGCCGGTCAGTTTGGGTTCCAGCAGGGCGGTGGACTCCGACAGAGCGTTTTATGTAGCTTACTCTAAAATAAACTGACAAAAGAGGTGCTAGACAGTCACACGCTGAGAGCGTGAGCGGGGTTCAGGCCTCGATGACTCTGAGACAGGGGGGCTGAGTCGAGGGGTTCTTCATACACTGCCTGTTCGTAGCTTCTTTAACCCTCTATAACACAGTGTTGCCATATGGCAACAATTACTTTATCTCAATTTTACTAAAAAGCAGTGATATAAAATCAGTTTTCCTATTTAATTGTGGAAAAAGGGTTTTTTACTTTGAAAGGACAAATAATTTATGACATCACATGACCAGGAATTCTTAGTATGATGTTATTATTGCCATATATTCCGAATACCAATATTTGTGAATATTGGGTCGTAAGTTTTTTAAAGCAGCAATATGTTTTTTTTTAATTAAAACTGAAAGAAGTGTCGTTACTGAGTGAGGAGAATAAAAACAGGCTAAACTACGGTGCTGCTGCTGTGAGTCGCCCTGCAAAGCCTGAAATAATCATATAAAAGTCAGAGGCGTCGAGTTTTCACACCACGTCGTACGTCTTTACGTATTAACGTCACACACAGACTCTAAAAGAAGGTCCGGCTCGATGTTTCGGCCTCAAATCATCTCAGAATCAGCATCACACTGATGAAGATATGATGACATCCCCAAATCCTACATAGTGTTGCTTTAAGACGTGTCAGGCTCCAGTCCTCGTGGGCCGAAGCTCTGCAGACTTCAGCAGAAGGCCTTCGTGGACTGAATTCAGAGTGTTAGATGAGGGTAAACGCTGATCTCTGCAGTAGTAAGGTCCCCATTTTGACCGGGCTGCTTTAGGATGTGTGAACATGTCATGATTAGCAGATCAATAGAAAAATGTCCAAAATTGATCCAGAATAAAATTTTAGAAGAAAATTCAGAAAACAATTTGTGCTCCTATGAAGTTGTCATTTCGGTTTTGTCCCATATCGCTGAAGTTTTGTCAGTGTTTAATGTTTAATTACTAAAAGTGCTCCAAAAATAAAACCTGAACAGAAAAATAAGAAGCTAAATAATACGAAGTTGTTGTCTGATCAGAGGACGGACGGGTCAGGCAGCCTTACTGTAGTGCTGATTAGATGTTGCAGCTTTGCCGTGTTTTCCAGTGAACTGATCAGCTCAAAGATACACAGTAGCAGTCAAAAGTACACACCTCCTCATGGAAGAGTTTTCTTTATTTTTACTGTTTTCTGCATTTTATAATCACAGTGAAAAAACCAAACCTCCACAATAAAAACACACAGAACCACTCCAGTCAGAAATGTCAGCCTTCTGACAAACAGGGCACCTGATTGGCTCAAACTGAAGCTGTTGGCTAAATAAATCTGTACACAGCCGTTAACTTCACTGCTAATATCCTCCTCAGGAACAAACTTAAAGCATTTCAGCTCGAGCCTTTCTGAATTACGTGGGACTGTAAAACTCATCCAGTCAGATTTGGGCTGGTGCTGTGCTGGTGTAGAGTCACTGCGCTGACTCACTGCTCTGAGGCAATGTTTGCATTTTCATGAGCTTCAACTTTTTTGAACGGGGGTTTCGTTTTAAGCGCGATGGTGATCTCACAGTTCTGAGCTGATTCTGTGACTGAAAGCAGAACCTGGGAGATCCAGCTGGATCTGTTTTTGGGCTCAGCTTGAGTGACCGGCCTGGCTGATCTGGAGCCGCCGTCCTGCAGAACATGCTGTGTTGAACATGCTGGATTAGACACTGAACTGAACTCTTAAGTCTTTGTCCAGAGTGATCATACTGACTCATTCATGTTGGTACATCCTCAGTTTGCTCTACATACATACATTAATATGAAGTCATTAGCATGTTATGTTGGCATGAACACATTAGAATCAGGATATAAGCATCTATATATTAGCATGAATCATGAGTATGATTACCATAAATACACTGACTCCTCAAACGACCCAAAGCTTTATTACACACTTGTATAATCTAAGAACAGCTCAGCCAGTTTGCACTGAAGTCCCTGTAGTTACAGAGTAATAAGCCTCAGTATGTAATAAGCCAGAGATTTTAAGGTGTTAACATAAGTACATTCACAAGCTTATATTAGCATGAGTTTAGCATGTGTATATTAGCATGAGGACACTGGACATGAGTGTGTTTCATCACTGTGATGTGAAAACGTTCATTTGTTGTTTTTGACCTCTTTACATCATTTGAAAGCTGCAGCTACTCTTCACTTTCTGTGAATGAATCATAATAGAAATCCTCCAAAATGACTCAGTATAGTATCTCATGCTCATTTACATGAACCTTCCAGACCAACTTCTGCTGTTTAATCTACTCTTTCCCATTAACAGCCTAACTTCTGCATTTATTAGCCAAGTATGTGATCTAACAGCCTAAACTTCAGAGATTTTTATTCAGTTTGTTGTTTATTGTTATTGTAATCAAACAAAACAATATTAACCTCTTATTGACCAATCTGGGAGCGGCATGGTGTAGCCTGGGGCAATAGGGGGCGGGGGCGGGGAGGGCACACCCAGGTATTCCAGTCCTGGGCTTTGAACCTGTGACCTTCTCCTACCACTAGGCCACTGGCCACCGCCAGTCAGGAAGAATCACAGTACATCCAGCAACAAAAGAGCCTTGTGCATCTTTTGCACAGTGATAGGAAACACAGCGGCTCACAGAAAGTCCAGTTCTACACTCTGAAATGAATATGACGACTGTACCTGGATGAGGCGGAGTAGCTCCTCTGGTGGCGGATATAAATGAGCAGCTTTATCTATTTTACAGGTTTGTGTATTTAAGGTTGAGAACGTTTTTTCTGTATATCATGAAGTCACCGTTTTGGAGACGCTGGCCTTCACCCTCCCAGCTCGGAAGTGCCACACACTTATCACAGGCACTCATGCAGTTCTCTCTGCAGGTTAGTTGTGTCCAGCTAGTTCTCCACCATCACACAGTGCATCCAAGCTGGGAGGGTGAAGGTCAGCGTCTACAACTAACTTCATGATATACGGAAAAAACGTTCTTAATCTTAAATACGCGAACCTGTAAAATAAACAAAGCTGCTCGTTTAACATAATTTGATGTTAAGTGAAGTGTGCTGGGGATGGAGCTTAACATTTGATGGCTGGAGGCATCTGGAACCAAACTTTTGTTTTTCAAACTAGCTCACCAAATATCATTATTTATTAATTCTTTTAAAAATAAGAACGGCTCGTTATCTTTTTACTGTACTTATGTTCATTTTATTCATTTTCATGTTCTACAGTGTTTCCGCTGATAGAAACAGACCAGATAAACGATAAGTAGTGTGGTTAAGTGAATTTTTCACAAAATTGTTTATACTTCACCAAAAACTGACAAAATCAAAAGCACTAATGAATTAATGGATAAATGAGATACTTACAGAAGTCAGTATTGTGGATCGACTTCACATGGAGGACATACAAATCACACATACAGAAATGTAACAATAAATAAATTAAATCAGCTCGTATACCACAAAAATGCTGTCTTGTTAAGTGAAATGATCTTCAATCTAGATTAATCTAGATTAATATCTATAAGATGCTGTTGGGAGAAAACCTTCTATCTCCATTTTTGCCGTTTTTTAGTTTTTGACATCACCTGAAAACACCTGTTACACTTTACATTCTTTGTAAATTTCACAATGAATGGACTTACAGAAATGACCCAAAATGACTTGTAAAAAGCTCTGGTTCCATTGATTTACATTAAAAGTAAAGTGTGTTTTTTCCTTCTCCTGTAAAGTTACCATTTTGGAGATGCGAGGTTTTCTTCAACTACAGCGCTATGATACTATTTTCTGTGTGAAATGTGTTTCCTCCACGCGTAATCGCATAGCCTCATCTGGTCTGGTCTGTGTGGATGTGTAGACCCAAACACAGGCTTCTGGAAGTCTCTTATCCATAGATCTGTTTTTGACTGCGAGGCTGATTGACAGGCTGTATTACTGTATCACCCACTTCTGCTCCACTCTGTGAAAGTCAGACTATAAGCCGCATTCCTGCAGCTGAATACAGTGTGGAGAGGCGTCTTACAGCAGCCTATTCACTCTCAGATTCCTCCAACAAGTTTAAACACACTGAGCTCCTGCCTGTTTGGCCTCACGTGCTGCGTCGTGCTCATTGGGCCCCAGACAGACAGACGGCCGGGTTTACAGAGCGTTTACCCCACTGGGTTTCCTTTGTCCTCTTTAACTGATTAAGATCTGACTCTAGTAGTTGGTGAGTGTTCATATCCACGTAAAACGGATCAGTGTGTGGAATCGGAGCTTTCAGTGACCGGCCGTGTTTCCTATCGCTGCGTTAAAGAAGCTCCATGCTGAGTTCTGTTGTGTTTCAGGCTGAATGGCTGTTTCTTTGTAGTTCTCATACCTCCAGACATCTGTAGTCTCCAGAGGGTCTTCTGAAAAGGAGGGTGTTAATAGTGAATCTGTGCTGCAGTAACAGCCTCTACTGTTCTGGGGAGGCTCTAGATGTTGGAACATTGCTGTGAGGATTTGATTGAGCATTAGTGAGGTCAGGTACTGATGTTGGATGGTCAGTTCTGGATCACTCCAACTGATCCCAAAGGTACTGGATGGAGCTCCATCACTCCAGAGAACACAGTTCCACTGCTCCACAGCCCAATGCTGGGGGGCTTTGAGCCCACACTTGGCAGTAGGGCTCATGTGCAGCCCTATTCTACTGGTCCCATCTTGATACTTTTGTGCAGTTAGTTCATGTTTGTATCCCTCTCACTTTGCCGTGTTGTTGTGTTCCAGGCTGACGGGTAACGAGCCCCTGTCCATCCTGCCGCTGAGCGCCCAGCCTGAGGAGAGGTCAGCTAAGTCGCACTATAAGCTGTGTGACCGGCTGAAACTGGAGAAGAAGCAGCGCAGGATGTGCAGGCGCGACCCAGGCGTGGCCGAGACTCTGATGGAGGCCATCAGCATGAGCGCGCTGGAGTGCCAGTACCAGTTCCGCTTCGAGAGGTGGAACTGCACCCTGGAGGGGCGCCACCGAGCTAACATTTTAAAGAGAGGTGAGGCTCATCCTGCTGACCTCCTCAGCCTCTTATCTCCAAATCTATACCAGTAAAAACATTTTAAACTTCACTGATTCAAGACTTCATTCCTAGTCATTTTAGAGCATTTCTGTTAGGAACACTTTTTGGTGCTATACAGAACCATTTTCTAAAATGTTCTAAGCAGCACATTCGCCATCACTCTGAAGAACCATTTCACAATACAAAGAACCCTTTAATCATGCTAAGGGTTCTTTGAGTAGTCATGATTCTGTATAGAACCATTTTATATCTGTATAGAACCCTTGAAGAACTATCTTTTTTAAGTGTGTAGGGTAGAACTGAATTGAATAGAATAGAATAGAATGGAGCTGAACAGAATAAACAAAATTGTATAAAACAGAACAGTAGAAAAGAATAAGGTAGAACAGAACAGAATATAATAGAATGGAATAGAACAGAACAGAAGAATGATATATAATACAACAACACAATATTAAAAAATTAAATAGAATATAACAGCTTAGTGTAGAATGGGATACAGCCAAACACAATAGAATACTGTAGAATAGAACTGTAGAATAGAATATAACCGAATAGGATAAAAAAGAACAGAACAGAATATACTAGAATAGAACAAATTACAATAGAATAGAATGATAACAGAATGGTGTAGAATTACATAGAGCCAGACAGAACAGAATAGAATAGAACAAATTAGAAGAGAATAGAATAGAATAGAATGATAACAGAATAGTGTAGAATAGCATAGAGCCAGACTGAATAGAATAGAATAGAATGATAACAGAATAGTGTAGAATAGCATAGAGCCAGACAGAAAAGAATAGAATAGAACAGAACAAATTACAATAGAGTAGAATAGAATAGAATGATAACAGAATAGTGTAGAATAGCATAGAGCCAGACTGAATAGAATAGAATAGAATGATAACAGAATAGTGTAGAATAGCATAGAGCCAGACTGAATAGAATAGAATAGAATGATAACAGAATAGTGTAGAATAGCATAGAGCCAGACAGAAAAGAATAGAATAGAACAGAACAAATTACAATAGAATAGAATAGAATAGAATGATAACAGAATAGTGTAGAATAGCATAGAGCCAGACAGAACAGAATAGAATAGAATAGAACAGAACATTCTATTCCACACCATTCCGTTTGTAATTCTATTTGAGTTTCAGTACAAATATTCTACATTCTTGATTACTGAGAACATATGATGGCTGGATTCACCAAGACAACATACAGGGTTTGTCCTGGTCAGTTCAGAGGTCCAGTGACAGAGCTTTGGTTATAGTGCAGAATAGGCTTGTGAAACCAATGCACCATCACACTATGGGGAGGGGGGTCATTAGGTAGGTAGTGAACAAACAAGCAGCTTTCCAAAATCAACATGCCTGAAGTTTAATGAGGTAAAGTCTTCAGTGGATCCACTTAGATCTGCAGTTGTTGGCTGGGTTTGTATTTGTTGTGATTTAACTATTCCTTGAAAATTCTCAGTAGTGTCTGGACAGAACTTTGCTGCTTGCTGACCCATGGTCCATGTGCTCTGCAGGATTTAAAGAGACGGCGTTCCTCTACGCCATTTCATCAGCCGGCCTGACCCACGCCATGGCCAAGGCGTGCAGCGCTGGACGCATGGAGCGCTGCACCTGCGACGAGGCTCCAGACCTGGAGAACAGAAAGGCCTGGCAGTGGGGGGGCTGCGGAGATAACCTTAAATACAGCAACAAGTTCGTCAAAGACTTCCTGGGCAAGAGGTCCAACAAGGACCTGCGCGCTCGGGTGGATATGCACAACAGCAACGTGGGCATGAAGGTGGGTAAGAACCTCCTCCCCTCTTATGCTTCATTTAAAAAGAGCTCTATAATGTTCATATGAACAGACAGACTGTAATACACTACAGGAAGTGTAGGGGGCGATATGGCTTCTACTGTTTCATTTAAAAAGCCTCTATAATGTTCATATGATCCACACAGTCACTCTGACAGACTGTAATACACTACAGGAAGTGTAGGGGGCGATATGGCTTCTACTGTTTCATTTAAAAAGCCTCTATAATATATGTTTTCAGATGTAAAGGTTGGGAACTCACTTATTTGCAAGAGCATGTGTAGCAGTCCGACGTTTCTCCAGCAGAGGGTGCTATTAGCACACAAGTGGTTTATGTGCGTCATTTAAAGAGATGAAATAGCTTTCAGTACGGCTGAAATAGTTTTCAGAAAATGTTGTGTTACTCCTTTTTATGTTACTTGAAGTGTGATTTTCATTAAGGCAGTTAATGTTTAAAAAGCGTTACGTAGCAACACCTTAGCAATCACCTGGGATACTGTAGCGATGGCCTAGCAACATCTTAGCAACCACCTACGGATACAATAGTGATGGTTTGCAACATCTTAGAAACCACCTGGGATAGAATAGTGATGGTTTGCAACATCTTGGAAATGACCTGGGATACTATAGTGATGGCCTAACAACACTATAGCAACCACCTGGGATACAATAGCGATGGCCTAGCAACATCTTAACAACCATCTGGGATACTGTAGTAATGGCTTAGCAACACCTTAGCAACCATCTGGGATATGATAGTGATGGTTTGCAACATGTTAAAAACCACCCGGGATACTATAGTGATGGTTTGCAACATCTTAGAAATGACCTGGGATACTATAGTGATGGCCTAGCAACACCTTAGCAACCATCTTGGATACAATAGTGATGGTTTGCAACATCTTAGAAATGACCTGGGATACTATAGTGATGGCCTAGCAACACCTTAGCAACCACCTGGGATACTATAGTGATGGTTTGCAACATCTTAGAAATGACCTGGGATACTATAGTGATGGCCTAGCAACACCTTAGCAACCATCTTGGATACAATAGTGATGGTTTGCAACATCTTAGAAATGACCTGGGATACTATAGCAGGGTTTGTCAAGCCAGACCTTAAGGTCCATTCATTCTGGATCGTTTCTGTTGGTTCTTTCATCAGGAGTTCTAGACAGTAGAACTAAAAGGCAGAGTTTTTTTAGATTATGTACAGAAATGTACCGTAACTAAAGTGGAGATACGAAGTTTTGTTCTGACAGTGACGATGTACGTCTGTCGCCTACATTACGACACAGAAAATCACAAATGAGCCATAGACCACAGAAACGGAGACACACTGAGAATCGTTTGTGAATGCATCCTGGCACCCTAAACCCAAATCGGACGAGGTGCCCACAGACCCCCCTCCCTACACCACAGGAGGTCCGTCAGAAAGACCGTGTGGGTGGCCGCGTGAGTTACGACATCCACAGCGCAGCCTGAACGTGCTGTTTTGATATTATCCATGCACCGTCTGTTCGGCACTCAACAAAGCGTCCCAAAAACCACAGCGAGCGTCCAGTAGGTTTCACTCACGGCCACTGACCATATCACAGATAATGTTGACTCTGCTGGATTACTGAGAGATATAGTGCCCCGTTCTAGACTCCAGCCAGGCGCTTGTCAGAGGGCTATGAACTTTCTCAAAATAGACAGAGCGTGTTTAGGTTTAAGCTGGTCCTCAGGCCGCGCTGAGGTCATGCTGTGGCTAATTGGACTCCATCGTGATTACGTGAGCTCAGAGTAACATACGTTTGGGTTTTGCTGCTTTTCGATTGGGAGCTGGGCTCTTCACTGCGCCAGTTAAACAAACACCGCCATACATTCCTTCACAGTGTCTGTAGCAGAGCGTAGAGGCTGGGCGTAAATCGCCTGTTTGATTCAGTAATTCGGAGAGTGCTGTGCGTCAGGCTGGTGCGGTGAGGGACGTGTTCTCCACACGCTGAAGAGAACGTGGTTCTGAAGACCCTGGAGGAGTGAAAATAAAGGGGGGGAGCTGCGCTGATGACTCGCAGCCAAAACAAACGACACGTCTGGCACCGTCAGCGTTTGCTCAGGCTTTCGCATATTGTTGCCATTTTCGTTTTAGTATGAAAATAAATTACGGCAGGGCACCCCTCCCCCCGTCGCCCCCCCCGCCCCCCCTGGCCGCCCGCTCCGTCCGTCCTCCTCAGGCCGTTTTGTCTGCGATAAAAGATTTACAGCACCGTGCTGTGTTTTCTCGGTCTTCTTCGTTGCTCATGCAGTGAGGAGCGTGGTGTTTGGGGTCAGTTCCCATATGGAGCACAAATTTGGGAATGTGCTGGCCTCGACTCGCTCGCGCTGACGCTTCACATTCCCCCCCTCTGCTTCCCCTCTGCTGGATCTGCAGCTTTACCGCTCCACCTTTACCTCTCTCATCCTCGCCCTCCTCCCTCTCTCCGTTCTCCCTCTCTGTTCTCTCTTTTCTCCATATATTCTCTCTCCCTTCTCTCTCTGTTGTATCTCTCCTTTCTGTCTCTTATTTACCTTTCCGTCTCTCCTTTCTCTCTGTTTTATCTCCGTTTATTCTTTTCTTTCTCTCTCTATTCTCCTTCTTCTCTCCTTTCTCTCTGTACTTTCTCTCACTGTTTTCTCTTTGTCCTTTCTGTCTCTCTTTTCTCACTCCCTCTCTTTCTCTCGCTATTCTCTCTCGTCTTTTTCTCTCTCCTTTCTCTCTATTCTCTATTTTATCTTTCTTTTTCTCTCTCTATTCTTTCTCTATTTTATTTCTCTTTATTCTCTCCTTTTTATTCTCTCCTATTCTGTTTTTGCTCTCACACTTTTCTCTCTTTTCTTTCTCTCTGTCTTTCCACTCTTACGTTTTTTTTCTTTATTTCTTTCTCTTGCTTCTTTCTTTCTCTGTCTCTTTTCTCATCTTTTCTGTCTTTCTGTTTTCTCTTTCACTCTCTCTTCTGTCTCTTTTTCTCTTTCTCTTGATTCTCTTTCTCTCATGCTTTACTGTCTGTCTTTCTCTGTCTCACTCCCTCTTTCTCCATTTCTATCCTCTTTCTCACCTCTTTCTCTGTTTTCTCTTTCTCACACTCTCTCTCTCATTCTCTCTCTCTTTCTCTCTCTCTCTCTGTTTCTCTCTCTCTCTCTCTCTCTCTCTGTTTCTCTCTCTCTCTCTCTCTCTGAAGAAGCGTCTTCCTCCTGAGTGTTGATCTTTACAGCTCATGTTCTCGTGAGAATGCTGAATGTTGAAACACCTTGTGGTTTGTTTTGTCCTGTGTTTTTTTCTCTCTCATGAATCCAGTAACTGTAGTTGTTATTCAGGGTGTAAAAGTTTGGACCCACCTGACTGAACGTATGTTTTTCATAACCTTAAAGACGTGTCGTCATTCTGTAAATCCCCGTTAGTACTGAGACGAGCTCTGAGTCTGAACCGGCTGCAATAGTCAAAATATTACTGTTGTGAAATGTAAGCTAACACTGCTGCACTGACCTGACTTCATAAGACTGACTTCATTAAAACAGCCCACACAGACCAGCAGGCTCTGACCAGTGTGGGACCAACAGGCTCTGTCCAGTGTTGGACCAGCAGGCTCTGACCAGTGTGGGACCAGTCGGCTCTGTTCAGTGTGGGACCTGCCAGCCCTGTCCAGTGTGGGACCAACAGGCTCTGTCCAGTAAAGCAACCAGTGGACTCTGTCCAGTGTGGGACCAACAGGCTCTGTCCAGTGTGGGACCAGCTGGCTCTGTCCAGTGTGGGACCAACAGGCTCTGTCCAATGTTGGACCAGCCAGCTCTGTCCAGTGTGGGACCAACAGGCTCTGTCCAGTATGGGACCAAAAGGCTCTGTCCAGTGTGGGACCAACAGGCTCTGTTGAGTGAGAGACCAGTAGGCTCTGTCCACTGTGGGACCAGCCGGCTCTGTCCAGTGTGGGACTAACAGGCTCTGTCTAGTGTGGGACCAGCCAGCTCTGTCCAGTGTGGGACCAGTCGACCCTGTCCAGTGTGGGACCAGTTGGCTCTGTCCAGTGTGGCACCAGTTGGTTCTGTCCAGTGTGGGACCAGTCGGATCTGTCCAGCATGGGATCAGCTGGCTCTGTCCAGTGTGGGACCAGCTGGCCCTGTCCAGTGTGGGACCGGGTGTCATCGAATGGTTTGATGAGTATGACAGTGATGTAAATCATGTGCTACAGCCTTCACGGTCGCTAGATCTCAACCTAGTTGAAGACGTTAGCCTGCATTCTCCACCACCATCGACACAACACCAACTGAGAGAAGATCTCTTGGAAGAACGATGTCCTGTCCCACCCGTACAGTTCCACAGACTTCTGAACCAAGGGGCATTGTAGCTGTCCTGGTGTTCGTGGTGGCCATAAATACCTTCAGCCCAATAACGTTACACTGATGGCGCAATCTCTCTTCAAATATAACCATGAAAGTCCTTCAGTTAGTCTCCGATGTTAAACATCTTTACCTCGTTTTTGTTCAATTATGATTATGAAGCAGCTTTATTATGATCCACATGCCTGTTTGAATGAATACAGAAGACAGAAAACCCATCAGGGGGTCATCCAGGTGCTCCCCCATGGACCACCTCAATGGAGCTTTTATTTCTTCGCAACGTTTGAAGTGCGGGACCCTCTGCTTTAGCTCTGATGGCTGTGATTGGCTGTTAAAGTAAGCGTGTCCTTCATAATACACCGTCTATGTCCTAATCCAGGACAGTGTTACTCATCCAGTCCCAGAATTCCCTCTGCCGTACCCCACACAGTCTCCTCGGTGAATACGGCGCCTCTTCATTCAGTCTTAAATTAAAGACTCGCCTTAAAATGTCGAGACAACCTCCGCAGATACCATCAGAGCCGGAGAATTGGTGTCATTAGGTAAGAATGTGGCAATATTCTCCCTTCACTGCTCAGCCGTACATCATCATTAAGTCTGAACGCGCTCGTTCAACTTCAAAGCCGAAAGCTTTGTTTGCTTTTCAGTCTCGTGTTTTGGAAACAGCTTTATTAATTCTGACCACCATCATCTCCTTATCTCCCGCATGTGTTCTGCAGTGAGGGCAGGGTTGAGCTGCCTTTGATGCAGTGCAGCTGGGCACTGTTCTGTTCTTTTGAACACACCAACTTTACATCGTTTGAACATTTCATGATGAAGATAAATAGATAGAACTTTATTAATCCTGGGGGGAAGTTGCAGTGTTACAGTAGCAAGACATATAATTGCACAGAAACGTACATATCGTTGCTGTCAGAACAAAACCTTGTATGTCTAAAACAGTAACTTTACAGGAAAAGGAAAAAACATACTTTACTTTCAATGTAAGTCAATGGAACCAGATATTTTTTCAAGTAATTTTCGGTCGTTTCTTTCGGTCCATTCATCATAAAATTTACACACAACGTACAGAACAACAGGCATTTTCGAAAACACATCAAAAACTGAAAAACGACAAAAATAGACAAGGTTTTGTTCAGACAGCAGCGACATATTAGGCCGAGATAAAAATAGACAGAAATGAGACAGAAATAAAAAAATAGACATAAGTTAAAGTACGAGGGAGTAGGATTAGAAGACATACTCTTTTGCATAGTTACATAGTATATAAGACAGATTGTTGTAAACGGTCTGAAATTATTGGAAACAAAATTAAATGAAAGGTTATGTTCACTTTGAAAACACACAGTCGTCCATAAGTCAAAGACAGCATTACTGGTCTCTCTTGCTCTGGGTGGGTGGTCCTCCCTCTCCCATCACTACAGAACAGAATTAGCAGTTAGCACTTGCTTCACCATCCCGGCTTGGTAGCATCGTGTGAGTGAAGGAGACCTAGCAAGCATCTGGAATTGGACACAACTAAACTGGGGAGAAAATTTGGTTTATAAAAAAACCCCAAAAGTTATAAATGATGCACGGAAATTTCAGCCACCAAAACATTTTGGCTGGCACTTTGGGTTTTTGGACGGAAGAGAAAATGTCTGAAAAAAAATTTGGCTGGAAAAAAAAAGATTAAATAGGGCAACAATGAAGTGTCAAAATCACTTAACAATCACCTGAGTGATAATGAAAATAAGTAAATGATTAAAAATGCAGTTAAAAGAGCAAATCGACAGCAAAAATATCAGCCTCGTGTAACTATTCAATGGTTTGCATGAGGAACTTTATTATAATCTGTTCATGTGGAGGCTGAAGAAATAGATGACATTAAGTGACCCTTATTAGTCCCACAACAGAGAAATTCACCTCTGCATTTAACCCAGCCATTTGCATTCTTGCACCGCCCCATTAAAGGGCAGCCCTGCGGTTTGTTTTTTGTTTATCTGGAAATTATTATGAATATCTGTGTTAGCCAGTTAGCTACTAGCTTACATCCATTGTTAGCCATGTTTAGTCAAGCTATTCCATTACCCTGTCAGCATGACCTGACCACTCCTTTCCTGCTTTTGCCCCCCCAGGTGATCAAGGCAGGTGTGGAGACGACCTGTAAGTGCCACGGTGTTTCGGGCTCATGTACGGTGCAGACCTGCTGGAGGCAGCTGGCCCCCTTCCACGAAATCGGCAAGCAGCTGAAGCAGCGCTACGAGACGTCGCTGAAAGTGGGCAGCTCCAGCAACGAGGCGACGGGTGAAGGGGAAATCCCCCAGCCGCGCGCCCCCGGACATCACCAGCTGACCCCAGAACCCCGCCCCTCCGACCCCATCCCTCGGACCACCGACCTGCTACACATCGAGGACTCGCCCAACTTCTGTCGGGCCAGCAAGTATTCTGCCGGGACCGCAGCGCGAAAGTGCTACAAGGACAAGAACTGCGAGGCCATCTGCTGTGGGCGTGGCCACAACACCCAGAGCCGCACGGTCACGCGGCCCTGCCAGTGCCAGGTGCGCTGGTGCTGCTACGTGGAGTGCAAACAGTGCACCCAGAAAGAGGAGGTATATACATGCAAGGGGTAAACAAACAACAACAACAAAAATATGCCCACCCTTTTCTCCCAGTAACCACAACCAGACTCACACTGAGGCTGGGGCAGAATGAGGAGGTCTACACCCAGAAAGGGTAAACAAAAACAATGACAACAATAACATGGCCCCATACCCTTTTTCCCAGTAACCGCAACCAGACTGAGGCTGGGACAGAATGAAGTGTAAACAAAAAACAACACTAACACAAAGAATAACCTCCACCTACAGTTGCCCCCAGTTACCAGTGGTAACCACACTAAGGGTTTCTGAGACTCTGACTGAGAATGCAGCAGGTCTATATCTTGAAAGAGTAAATAAAAACAACAATAACAAGAACATAGAAAACAGTATTCAACAATAGATGGTAACCATATTAAGGGTCTCTGGGACTGGGGTATAGAGATGAGGTCTACACCTACAAGAACGGGTAAAAAAGGGTAAAAAGCAGGTTCTCCCCACCCCACAGTAACCAAATTAAGGGTCTCTGAGAGCGGGTTATAGAGAGGAGGTCTACACCTGCAAGGGGTAAAGTTGGGGTTACAAACGAAGGGGGGAACAAAATGTGAGCTGGTGCTGCTATATGGAGTGGAAGCAATGTATACCTTTAAAGGAGTAAAAAAAAAAAACAACAACAGAAACGTCCCCACCCCACAGTAGCCAAGGGTCACCAAGCAGACTCTGAGACGGGGGTTTAGAGAGAGTGGGTAAGGATATGGGGGTTGTGAGGGGCATACACACTTTAATTTTCCCCTAGAACAGGGGTTTTATTGTACCAAGTCTTTGGAGATCAGACTAGAATGCAGTGCACTTTGAGATTTTCCGTGCACTCTTAAAAATACAGGGGCCAAAATGGGTTCTTTGGAGCAATGCCAAAGAAGAACCACTTTAGGCTCCCTAAAGATCCTCTCAATTGATGATTCTTTGAAAGAACTAGATGTGTGAAGAACCTTCTTAAAGGTTAAAGAATCTCTGAGTCTTGAAAAGGTTTTATACCAAGCAAAGGTTTATCAAAGAACCATATACCCAAGCATAAGTGTGGAGTTCAAAGCTCCATCACTCTAGAGATGAAGCTCCATGACTCTGGAGATAAAGCTCCATGACTCTGGAGATGAAGCTCCATCACGTTGGAGATAAAGCTCCATCACTCTGGAGATAAAGCTCCATGACTCTGGAGATGAAGCTCCATCACTCTGGAGATAAAGCTCCATGACTCTGGAGATGAAGCTCCATCACTCTGGAGATAAAGCTCCATGACTCTGGAGATGAAGCTGTATCACTCTGGAGATGAAGCTCAATCACTATAGAGATGAAGCTCAATCACTCTAGAGATGAAGCTCCATGACTCTGGAGATGAAGCTCCATCACGTTGGAGATAAAGCTCCATGACTCTGGAAATGAAGCTCTATCACTCTGGAGATGAAGCTCCATGACTCTGGAGATGAAGCTCCATGACTCTGGAGATGAAGCTCTATCACTCTAGAGATGAAGCTCCATGAGTCTGGAGATGAAGCTCCATCACTCTGGAGATGAAGCTCCATCACTTTATAACTGAGCTCCATCACTCTGGTGATGAAGCTTCATAAGGCATGGAAGGTTTTCCCCAAATTTAGGAACTTGTTCAATCACCAGCACAGGTTCAGTCCAGGACAGCTGGTGTTGTTTAGAGTTTTAACCCCCTCACTTCTTTTCAAAGATCTACTTTTGTATGTGTTAGTATGACGGAGCTGTTTCTAACAGAGTTCAGAACTAGCGTTATATATGACAGAAACATGACAGGGGTGTCAGATTTGTTCTATAAGCACATATATTCTACACCCACACAATAGTGAGTGTATGCATCGTGTACATAGATTAAATTGTATTATAATTATTTTATATATATATATATATACATATATATATATATTCACACCACTTATCGTAATATGTAAAAAAAAAAAATAACCACTAATCACACAAATGCGCTGTTGTTTGTGTGTTCTTGTTCTCTTGACTTTTTTAAATTCCCTTCGACAAGGCCCTCGCTAAAGCAGAGACTTTTTAACGCGCCCTTCGTGTGGAGTTATTTATGTAGCTTTGGGGACCGGTTCTACACCAGGAAAGAACAACGCTAAATTCCCGTATCCTTGTTTTTCTTCTTCTCGCTGTTGTTTGACGGTGACAGCCTTTTCCAGTCGATGTAGTGTTTTTCTTATTTTTCTTGCTTTTTTTTTCTCGGCCTTAAATGAACTCTGAGAGATGACTGTTCAGGGAACCTGTTAAACCACTATGGCCTTTCTGTACGGGACGTCCGAGGGGAACTCTCCGGAACCTTGTTAAAAAATTCGCAGACTCGTTGCCACAGCAGCAATCCGAACGTTGTGCTGGTTCACAGCCGAACATACATGGGTGAAAGGTTACTTTACTCTAGGACTGGGCGATATGACGATATATTACCATCACAATATCATATACACACGTTTATGATTCTTTTTTCTGAGCGTACGTTGGTTATGGTCAGTACCTCTAGAACAACAACTGCATGGATCATAAAATGACCAATTGTAGAGAGCCTGTAAACAACCACCTGTACCTCCAGGTGAATAACTCGCATCCAGTCAGCGCTAAATTTACGCTAAATACGAGCAGAACAGACAAAACATTAGCAATAACGGTAAAATGTTGGTGTATTGAAGCTGAAATGTGAGTTTTACTGACATTTTTCCTGCTTTTTCTAGCTTTCTAAAGCAGGTCATGGGGCTATAAGCAGCATTTACCCCTCTGAGGACCCTCTGTATTTGCTAACACTTGCAGCTGAACCACAATTTAACAAATTCTTTGCTCTTCCAGATGAAGATGAAGTCGCTGAGCACTATTACACAAACAACAAGAGCAACGGAATGTAAACTAGTACAGTATGTTGATGTGTTGATTGCCATTTTTAGAATCATTGCAGAGAGTTCATCATAAAGTCACATAAGACATAGGAAGCTAACAATATTAGCATTAGCATCAGAGTGTTTTCACTCATATTTTCACACTTGACAGAGAAAAACTGAAGCTTTGATTCTACACACGATTGTGTGCAAATGTAGACGCTTATATGGACAGTTCTGTATATCGTTTCATATCAGGTAATAAGGTAACATTAAGCTAACTAGCAAGCAAAGTAGCTAATTAGCAAAATTAGAGTGACATAAAGTGATAAAGACCATTAAATCGTTAACCGTTGTTATCATAAACAGTTCCTTCTGTAGACAATCAGCTTTGACTCTGAGTGAACTGCTGACCATTTAGTAGAAGCTAAAGGACAGTGCAGAGTGTCCACCTCATTCAGGGGCTGAACCTTTATGAGCTTTTTCACGTACGGCTCGGATCTCTGGTTTAGCTGATTTTGGAGATGCAGCTCCAAACGTGGTGAAGCATCAAACTAAACTAATAATTCTGATGTTTACCTAAAACTTCTAGATGAGGGGTGCCCAAACTTTTTGTCCTGGGCAGCCAAAAAGACAAATAAATAAGGCAGATGAGAATTTTATAAACTTACTCTACAATGCATTACTAAAAAACTTCACAAACACAATTTTAAAAGGAAAATAAGTAAATTATATTTATGAACAATCAGTTCCTTCTGTCATTGGCTGATGGTTGGGCCCTGATCCAGATGATCGGTCAGCTTAGGTTGTCAACAGAGAAACAGTGACAGGTAGAGTGAGTTCAAGCCACCAGCTGAAGTTTGCAAAAATCAGAGGATAAAAACAATAATCAGGTTTAGTGCGCACAAGATTATCAGTCATATATGTGCTCTAATTAATTTACTGATGTGCGAATAAATTGCACAGATAATCCTGCTCGGTGCGTAAAGGCCTTTAGAAAGACGTCTAAACTTTTATTTTGTAAGTGGCGCTGATCGATTAACATATTGTTGGTAGCAACATTTTTAAAAGATTGCAATCTTTGACTGACAATCAATTCTGACAGCAAGCCTTAAAAACAAACATGCTGTCGCTGCTGAAACTAATCTCAGTTTTTTTGCTAGTTTTGGTCATTTTGGTAAACTGACAGCGTGAGCTGCTGTTTACACTGTCAAAATCTCATGACAAACAGATCAATAGAAACAGTTTAAAATGACTTCAAATAAAATTGTGTTACATTAATTTACATTAAAAGTTAAGAAAGTTTTTCTCCTGAAAAGTTACTTTTGTGGAGATACCAGGTTTTGTTCTGACAGCATTAAGTGTGTTTACATGCATTCAAAAATCCGATCATAATCAGATTTCTGCAGTTATCTGATTATTCAAATGGTCATGTAAACAGGACACTCTGTTTTTTTAGATCGGAGTAAGGTCTAGATATCCGATTAAGAAATCTGATAAAGAGGCTGGAGTTCAGCTCAGTAATCAGATTTCTCAGTGCATGTGAACTCTTACTCTGATTTCTTTCGGATCTCTCAGTCTGAGCATGTGCAAAAACAGACGGCGGCACCGGAAATAAGCGAGCAGCGTCGCTGCGAGACGCAGCAAAACACTTTTGGAGCGATGCTGAAAGCAAATACATGCTTGACGAAATAAAGAATATAATTATTCTTCATCTTCTAGACGATGTTTGTTCATATTTTCAGGTAAAGTGGCGATGTTTAAAAAAAAAAAGCTGCAGTATGAAGTTTGAGTTTTGCGTTATGTTTATGTCTCGTCTTCTTCTGTGAGTTTATTGGCTGGTTGTAAAGCAGAAATCTGATTACTGTCTGACTCATGTAGACCCAGAGATTCCCCATTATCTGATTACTCAAGTGCATGTAAACGCGTTGATTTGATTACTGACAAAATCTGATTTTCTGCAGTTATCAGATCATCTTCCTGTTCAGCCGTAGTTTCTCGTGAGAGTATCTGCCTCCTTAAAATCCACTCATCTGCTTTTAAATAAGACGACCGACTCCAAATTCACACCAGTGCAAATACGTTCACTACAGTTTAATCACGTCCAGTGTCAGCAGTGTCCACTGATCCCATGAGCTTTTAGTTGTGGTCATTCAGAATTTATAAAGTTCTGTTAATCTGACCGAACGACAGGATCTGAACAGCAGATCTGACCGACCACAAACCCCGTTAACACAGCGGCTGCACTCGTTTGACTTTTCTACTCAGATCGGCTGACCTTCGTCAGACGCTACACGCAGTGTAAATAGAAATGCTTTATATAAATACCTTTGACAGATGAGTGAGCTCTCTATATGAATATATATATAAATATATCACATATTTTTATTGTTTTGGATGAGTATGACTGAAACTACTGAGTGAGGGACCCAAAATTAGCCAAACAGCACCGTTCACGCACTGAAGCTCAGAAGCTTTCCCAATTATTAGTATTTAAAAAAAGACATTTTTGTTGTATTTATGAATCTATATCTCGCAGATGTTTTCTTTTTTTCAAGTGTAAATAGTTACGGTTATGATCCTGTGGTGTAGTTTCACACAACAGAAAGATGGCTAACTGAGGAGCAGGCGTGTGCTAGCGTATTAGCCTAGCAGCTTTAGCCTAGCTGCATTAGCATAGCTGTGTGTTTTGGAGGTTTGTGTGTGTATTTAGCTCTTTGTGGGGACCTCAGTTTGATAAGAACATCAAAATTTACTAATTAAGCTGCTCTTTGTGAGGAAAACTGCCTTCTTCCCAA